TTCGTTTATTCCGAACGGCGTTAGAGCGCATGCCAACAGATGAGTACAAGGTCGTAATCAGAGCTGACAAAACACCATCACGCCAACACGGAAGACGAATGGTTGTTCATCATTCAATATCGAACTATTGATTACATTCATTACAATAAACGAGAAATGTGAACAACACTGCAAACACAGAATGAACTAAATGTTTTCATATGTGGCCCTCTGCCTGTTCCAAGGAAATACATTCACGGTTCGCAGCGAAGCGCGACCGGGTACGCTAGTTTTAAATATTTCTTCGTTTGAGTGCGAGATGGAACGTTTGAACTAAGGGTGGCTGATGGTTGGAGTCCGCTTTCAGAGGTCGTTTTTTTCGTGAGGAAAAAATGATGATTCGCTCGCCGTACCAGACTCGCCAGCGGGCCGTCAATGACTACGCGATGTTCGCGTTCGCGGAAGATGCCCAACGAGCTGTCAGCTCGTCGTTCGTAGAGGGTCCGAGCCGCCAGGAGGAGGAGATATTCGGCGGGGCGGAACTGAACGTGAAGCGGGGTCCTAGGGGCCCGTCACCCCGATGTCACGATTGATATTCGGTCACGGTTCCAGTGCCCCAACTAGGGTGCCTTTGTGTGGCATAGATGCTACTATTCTTGGGCGGGACTTCCGCCAGGGGTGGCGCCCCTCCGACATCAGCCATCGACTCCGATCCAGTTGCTCCTTCGAGAGAAAAAATCATTCATCTTGACCTCAGTGGTCTCGTCTGTGTCCGGGGAGGGCGGTGCTATTGTTTGTACCCCTTGTCGGACTAGGTGTCGAGATGAAGTTTGAACGGGTGGTCAAGCCTGAGTGGGTGCTCGCTCGCCGATGACAGGGACGCGTACAATCAGATGCCTGTCCTGGTTCTCCGCTCTCTGGTTTCGATGGTTCGAGGAGCTTCGGGAAGAGTACAGCCTCCCGTTGACGATCGCGTTCGAGGAGCCTCTTGACAAACGGGTGGATAAGTTTTCCGAAATCGACGCAAATTTCCTGAGCTGCCCGGCGATGTCAAATCCTTGTTTGAAAGACCCCGATACAAGGACCGGCATCGACTGCCTAGAGAAGCCGTTCACGGCTTCCATTTCGAGCTATGTCAGGCGACCCAAACGCACACAACGAACGACGACTGCCGTTGCAGACTCTGTGGGGAGTACTGCCCACAGTATCACCTGCGCCATTGTTAGAAGAGAGACGAATTCGACTGGAGAAAGTAACCAGCCTGTATGAAATATAAGACATGCCATGTGATCCCTATGAAAACAAAGACACCAAGAACTGGTTAATGAACCGTGTTCACACTTTACTTCGAGGAGCTTCCAAATATGTGAAGACAACAGGAGAAAAGAACACGAGAGAGACCGTTTGGTTCTATTTTTTTTTCGTTTCGTTATTTCGATTCATTTTAGATCATGCTCATTTTCTTATTCATCTATTTCTTATGCTCGTATTATACCTTCTTGGTTTCCTTCTAGGTCGGGGAGAAAAAGGGGGTGGGCTCTCTCGCATGACAGCAAGAGAAGGGTTTTTCTCCAAGTTCCACAGCGGACAATGATGAGTATATTATGAATCATATGTGAAAAATTATGAGCATATTATGAATCATCGTAACGGTTTTATTGCTCGCTGATTTTGATCAAATATGTTCTGGCGTCTTGTTCTTCTTGTCTCTGGGTCCGTAGTAGAATTTTCTGATCGCCTTCCTATCCAGCCGGAGTGTCTTCTCCTCTGAAGTGTCCTCGGCCTGATGCTGTTTTTCCATGGGGGTGTTTGTCTTTTCCCACATGTCGTTGACCCTACTGATGGCGTCCGGCATGTTCTGGGCTTCTTTGACGCATCCCCCTATGATAGGGATCATTTCTCTTTTGAAGCTGCGCTATCCCAGTCCGTAGGGCATGTCTTTCATCGTATCTGTAATGTTCTCCAGTCTTTTTTTTTTATTAGTCGAACAATTAGTATTGATTCTCAGATACTGGGTCCAGGGGTATGGAGGGCTCTGTGGGTTTCAGATAATTTCTGATGAGGGCCGTTATAACCCTCAGGAGGTGTAGCAGGAGAAATCCGTTAGCCGCTTCGGAGATTTCTCACTGAGCCCTTTCTCGGGGGTTCCAATATTAATATTTACATCATTTTTGATGTGCGCCGCTGCATATGTTGACGCATCGTTCTGCGTGGAGATCATCTCTCGCTGCTGGACCTGATGTTGATCTCGTCGCGAGTCTCAGGATCTAGGATCGGGATCCTTTTGACTTCCTTCGGAGGAAGCTCGCCTGCCTGACTCACGGCCTCCACCGCCGGACCAGTTTCCTGCTGCGGTCGCCTGCGATATAAGATCATCATGAGAAGCGTCGTTTCCTCGAGATTGCGTTCTGTTTCGCGATTTGAATGGACAGTCGCGGGACTTACGATTTATAGTAGAAAAAGTGTTGTCCGCCGACAACACTGCAGAGTACCGGAGCTTGCCCCCCGGGACTCGGTTCCAGAGCCACAGGGTGCGCGAGTCGCTCGACATTTACCTCAAAATACCCGGGTGGCGGAACCCGGATTGGTACCCTCAAATGGGGCGGAATCCAATCAATGGGATGTTTGTTGCATCCGGCCGGCTCCATTTCCTGAGAGATCCCGTACGAATTTAAAGGGAGAGGCTTTCGACTCGGGTTCTGTCTTCACAGTGAGGAAGATAGACGACTTATGTCTTTTATAGCGGGATCAAGAGAGACTCCTCAAGGGCTGACTGTGGACTTCGAGATTTTGTATCACACCGGATCTCGGAACCAAAGATAACTCTGAGTCCAACAGCGCCTTATCCGCGCTGCATGACTGTCATGAGTCATCACTCAGAGATCGGCGAATCACAGTCAAAATCATCTGCGTTCTGAGAGGCAGAGAGTGTCGTCACAGCGTCGTGGTTCGGCAGACCCGAAAGGATAAGATCAAGCGAGTGAATAGGTCTGAATTTCTGGTCAAACTGGGCAAGAAAAATTGAGGCGGAAAAATTCATTCCATCAATTGTGACCCATGCCGCACCTGACTCGACGTACGTTACGTTTTTCGAGGGACGGAACACTGTGGGAGCTCCCCAATGGGACTACCTGCCGTGAATCTGAGGAGCGGCCTGCTTACGATGGTCGCCTTCTTACCAGAGGATGATCATTTTTTTCGCTCCTCAATTCGGCCGCAACTATGGAACGACTCTAAACAAGGGGATACCTTCGCAAGTCCATCCATTCTTCGCTCTCGAGACGACTTACAAAGATGCAGGAATCAAACGAGACGCCGTCGGTATAAATATGCTCCAAGGGGAGACGGGGCGCGCCACTTCGACAAAAAACTCTCGAGAGGTTTCGACCGTGCAGGAACTTCCCATCGAGGGAGGTCCTAAGGCGCGCGGTCTGCTAGTCACATGCGAATTCGAAGTCACCACTTCCACTTTGAGGAACGACGTCGTATCGTGTGGAAGGTTCATGGTTCAAATAGTTCGGCCACTTGACCCTTGAGGGGGCAGATGCCCCCTTCGGATTCCCCGAGGGCACTCCCAGGTTATTCCCTCCGGGTTCTCAAAGGCTTCCGGTCAAACCGCATTCTTGACGCGTGAATGCTGGAATAGACTCCCTGGGCCTTGAACGATCTCAAACCCTAGGCCCAGAGCCCTCAGAGCCCGTCGCGTTTGGACCAGAGGAGCAGCCATGGAAAAATCGCGGCACGTCGGCAACGATGCGGGAAGGGTACATACGATGCGATGTCGTCGGGGATGGGACCCGTGTACGACATCGCCCGCGGGGCGGTGTCGGGCCTCTCTCTTTTGTGGCTTCCAATGACTCCGATTTTGAATAAGAAATAAGTTACGTATATGTGCGAGGTGGCTGAAGAACGATTTCAAAATGAAAGCGCATTGATGCAGGTATCGATGTCGAGTGGAAATCCGTTGCATCTCCACGGCTCCAAGACCGTAGAATGAGGAAAAAGTTTAAACCCTTCGGAAATGGTCGTAACTATATCAGGCAACATGATGATGGCCCCCGGCCTCGGGCTTCCTCAGACAGAGGATCGCACGAGAAGTTCAGCGGAGCTCGTGGCCGGTGCCCCAACGGCTGGCATGGACTTCGAGGGGCTCTTCATTTTGTGGTTTTACCTATACTCGAATCACTAAAGTTTGCGGAGCGAACATATATAGGGAGTTTGATTCCTCGGGAGTACCCCGCCGGTGGATGACGATCCCCTCTCGTGGGCTTTCCGAGATTCACTGGTCCGCGCTCGAGGAGCCTGACTCGGGGAGGCGCACTCTATTGCGCAAATTTCGTCATCCAGAGGAGATGTTCGCGATTTGACCAAGCGGGTCGGGTCTCTGTGAGATTCATGAGCCTCTCCTTTCAGTGATCGACCCGAATCCCGAATTCCGCCACCCTCGGTCTACTCTCTCATGATCCGAGAATCAATTCACGCGACACAGGCTGAACTCAGAGCTTCACAGTTAGATTCGACCCGCCGAGTAAGGCTCGCTTATCGGTCGGTTCCAGCAGCGATGCAAGAGACTCCCAGTCTCGAGCTCGAACGCCGCATGTCTCACTCCCATAGAAGCAGCGATAGAGAGCTACGGGGGGAGATGCTGAAAAATCCCATCCCCACTCCCAGCGAATGAGCCGCGTGGGGCACGGAAGCGTTCCCGTCCCACAGCTGGAATTTTCGGGCCCGTAGCCGACGTCCCCCCGACCGTTTTCCGTCATCTGTGGTAGCCTCAAGGGGTCTTGAGAAATCGCATCCCCTCGAGAGAAGAGGCTCTTAGGTCAGAGGGCGATATCCGCCGATGGATTTTGAATGCCCCCGAAAGAAAGAGAGGATAAATCGCCCGTATTCGGTTTCGGGAGCAGGGAAGTCGAGTCCGGGTGGGCCAGCGCGGTTTCGCGCTGAAAAGTCAAGTTTTCTCATGCCGACGAGCAGCCGAATTCAAAATGGCGACTCCCTTCGTTTACGCAGCCAATGATAGTAGTATCCAAGAGAGCATTCGATTGTATTCCCCAAGAATTCGATTGATAAGAGGAAAGGGCTTTAAAGGCCAGGAGGCAATAGCACATCATGGAAGTCGATCAAGGTCTGTTGGAAGTCGTGTGCCGGCTCGGAGACCTCTTGCCACGGGCGTCGAATCTATTGAAGCGTAGAATCCCCCGGAGAACCGACAACATCTGAGCTCTCTTCATATACCGAACAAGGTCTTTTTGCGACCGAGACCAGGATAGAGGTATGATCTTTGCTGTGGACGCACTGATTTTTTCTTAACAATTGCAGAGTACGGTCTCAACGTCTGTCAACGACGCCCAATGGAGTTGTCCCCCCAAAAAGAGAGACCGTCCAAAATGCCCAGAGCAGACGTCGTGGCTCTCGCGCAGCAGCTGAGTGACGTGAGTACAATCTTTTCGCTTGCGCCATTCTTCACTTTCGAGCAGAATAGCACAGCGGTCAAAATGATCATCCCCTCCACAGGCGGACGACTTCATCCAAGCTAACATATGCAACAAGCTCAAGCCCATCGCAGATCAAATGAAATTCCTCAGGCAACAGGCTTTCCAAGTTAGTCCATAAAGAAGTCAAGCCTCACTGAGGATTTTTTACTGCTTAGTCGACCGATGAACAGACAGCAGGCCCCACAGTATGCCCATGAGCACCAGAATCAATGACCTTGTATTGATGGATGCTCATGCCCCACAGATTCTAGAATCAGCTCGGCGGGACCGCGAACTACATCACACACAATGTAGCTTCAAGAAGGTCAGATTTTCTGCAAGCAAAAATTTTCGCCCCGATGGCAGCTCCCCCCCTCCATCCGGCTCGTGTTCCAGGAACTTATAGCTATGAGTCTTCACCCTTTCCAGGTCCCGGGACAGATTTATCATCTCTACGAAAAAGATTGCGGTGAACGCTACATGTCGATGCTCAGCCCCGGCGTCAGTAACGCTCAAAAAATTAGACTGCTGAACTGATCTCTCTGACATCACATTCTGACATCAATTTGATGTTCAGGCCCCCGACCTCTAATTTTTAAGTTGAACTATTTCTTGAAATGACGTTCCCACGGATTTTACAGGAATGGGCCGTCACCACGGGACCCGCACAGACCCATCTGGGATCCTTCAGATTGGAAGCAGATCAATCCTGGACGCCAGAGCAAGACGTGAGTTTGAAACGGGGCGCTCGGAGTCCATCGTTGGAATAGATAAAATCGTCTCACACGAACTTCCCGACTTCCAGGTCAACGCTAGAGATAAAGAAATGCTCGCCTTCCGTCAGTTTATTCAGAACGGTGACGGCCTGCCGGCCCTCATGGGCTCACGGCCTTTTTGAGGAAGAGTAGGATGAGCTCATCACGTCCGAGATCTTCGTACAGAAGAAGAGAATCGGAGCGGGGACCCTTCTAGAGCCGGAGCAAGAGTCCTCCCGGACGGGTGTAGTTCCTTGACGATTTGAATGAGTGGACGCTCAACTGTACAAAAGTTTTGTGTATTGTCATCAGCAGGGCATCACGACCGTGCCGTCTACGTCGCGCTTCAACCAGACTCCGTGATGAGTTCTCATCGAATCGGAGCGTTGAGGGAAAACGGGGAGCTATCCTATGAGAAGGACGCAGACGGGAGAGACTTCGAGCGCGAGCAAAGTGATAACTGCGAGCTCTCTCACGAATGGGCGTCTGTGGGTCTGTGTCGGAGCTTGATCTTTTCCGATATGAGGAGGAGTTGTGTCCCTTGAATAAACGTTCGGAAGATGTGCTCGACGACTCCTCATGAATTGTGTCAATCGGAACCTCGTCATAATCACCGGTGCTACCTGCCGGTCCCTGTCCAATCCAATATCACAATCAGCTGATTTTCTGAGAAGGCGGGGAAGAATGCTCGCTTGGGATCAAGCGCCTCGAGTCATTCGATCCGGTTCTCAAGGCATGGTGTTTCCTGGAGTCGATGTCGGATTCTGAAGAACGAGTGATCTTGCACTCCTCCCTCTGTGGGAATGCAAGACGGGGTTCTGTGATATGAGCCGCTTCGGGGAGGGATTTCGGTGTCAGACTGAACTTTCACATCGCCAAGAAAACTTCGTGGGACCTCGGAAGAGGAATTAAAGGATTTCAAATTTCGCATAAATAGACGACCGTTTATTGTCATATAAAGTCACTCGATGTGCGTAAATGACATTAGAATTTCTTCTTCAACAACTTCTCCAACCTCATTATCCGACCACTTTCCTGATTTAGAACCGAGAAGAGGCCCCCCGATTTCTCCTCCGTGGAAGCGGTGCAGATCATGGCCTGCGTGAGAAGGTTCCTATCATATCTGTCGGCTCACATATACATATGGAATCGCGAATAATAAATAAATAAATGTGAACAGGAATGGAGACTGAAAAAGTTATGATCCCCAAGATGAGCCGCATGATTCCGAGGAATTGCTAGCATGTGATTTTACCTGAGGACCCGCCTTCATCTTGAATCTTTCGATGAGAACACTTTGGTCTTGCCGCTTGATATTCTTCATTTCCAGAATCCGTTGAAATTCATTCAAATCGGTCTCTGGCAGCGAGCGCAACAAATTCGTGATGAAAGATTCGTGAGGTTCGATGGGACTCATCACAACTTTCAAGATGATTTCAGCCTTAGTGAAGCCCTGTAAGTAGGTCATCAGAACATGAGCTACTTGCCACCTAGAGTCGGGGAATAAGCCTTTTTCGATTCTTCATCCAAGGACTTCACCTTGATCACAATTTTCGTATAGCTCGCAGGAGCTTTCCTCAAATTCGCTTCTGCGCCTAAGGTTGGAAGTTCAAGAAGGATTGTTTTAAGAGCGTGAGTGTCCAAGAGCAATTGTTCCGCCCCAACGGGTGATACGGGTCGGCATCTCAACATTTGATGAATGAACTTTGAGATGAAGCCGCTGAAAACCAAAATTCACATCAGAAACCCCGCTCGGCATCAGCACCATGATCGGACTCCAATTAGTGGGCTCCGACCGAACCTCGAAAACTTGACGCAGAATTGGGTGAGGTATTTCCGAGAATTCGCCAGTGAATCTCGTAGGAGGCTGATGTTCTGCGACAGATGAGAGGCGATAGCGTTGACAAAAGGACTCTGATCGCCGACGGCCTCGAGAGAAGCCCAATTGACTTTCAGCATCGAGCCGAAAGCCGGCTCACAAGCAGCCTCAAGATCGGCGACCAGTAATTGGATGCTCTGGTTGACTACGAGATGGAAGAGATCCAATTCCGCGGAGAAGGATATTTCTTCTTGGAGCTTGGGTGACGCCACTTTTTCCTGCGGTTTAAAAGGAGAGCTAATAAATCGGTTCCGTGCAATCTGAGAAATTTCGTGGAGCGAAGCGGAAGTGAAACTCCCGCCTTCAATACCATGCGAAACGGAAACTCACTTTGAGTTTCGTCTCAAGTTGTTGAACTGTCTCCAAGCAATATTCGGCAGTGGTCAACACCGCACAGACTTGACAGATTTCGCCCGGAGTGAAACGAGTAGCCATTACGTATCCCATTCCAGATTGTTCGACGAGGGTTTGGAGGTTCGCCAGGAGCGGTCTCGACGACATGGAAGGAACCGTGATACCGAGAGCTCCACTGGATAGCCCATTTTTGGGAAGAGCACCCTGGAGAACTCGGTTGGCATATTCCTGGAAAATCCGGGGCTCAAACACTTGCGCGTATCATGTGCATCCCTTGGCGACCTCCGAATGAGGCTCCCGAATCCCACAGTTTCTGCGTAAAGTACATGTACAGAAACACTCACTCTCAGGTACTTTCTGAATGTTGTACTCAATGAAACGAGGCCTTGTCCCTGGCACGCCGGCATCTGGGTGCATTGCACCAGGCATTTCTTGAAGAACATAAATAGGTCCGCGCACGAGGGAAGAGTCGACGCCGGTGATCCGTCAACCTGTCAGAATTAGAAAAAAATCCCGAATGAGCAGTAGGAGATCCAGGAGACCTCAAGCGCAATCGCTCAGAGCGAGCTCACTTACTTTGGGTGGCAACATCTGCTCGGCCTCCTTGGCGAACTTGTCCATCATCTGGGAAAGCTCCTTGGAGCGGGTCTCCATGTAGACATTTATGTGCGGTTCGAAGCAAGACGATATCAAGCCCTGAAATGAAGATCGAACCCATCCATTGAAGCATTCTCCCTCGGGCTCTCCTCGCTTGGCAGTTTTATCTTCACGATACGAACGTTGAAAGGATTGTCTGGAATGTTCGTGGATTTCGCGCCTTTCGACGCATCGCTCGCGGACTTGGTTTCAACGGCTTGCTCCTCAGATACGTCGAATGGATTCCCCGGCGAGTTGCGTCCGCATAAAGTGAGTCCGGTGAAACGACGCGAGAGAAGCACTTCGAAAGCCGAAGTTTTCGTCATTGCATTCACTAGGAGGCCAGCATCGATTTGAGATGCTCTGGAAGTTGAAGGTTCCGATTGAGAGATGGAATTACGGCTTCAACTCCAGTACATCCGAAGCAAGTCGAAACCAACCTTTGCGCCATGATGTCAGCCAGCTGTTTACGGGTTGTCTCACAAGCTTTCACAGCTACACGCTCAGCCATTTCCCATTCCGGAGGGAAAACTGACCCCATGGTCTCTTCGAAATACAGCAAATGTTTCTTGATCCAAGCATACCTGAGGAGCAAAGATGGAGAACTTTCCAGATTACTATCTCGGAAACGAGAAGCGAGACATACGCAGCTCAAGGAGAAACCCGGCTCACCTCTTGTCGATATGATCCAGCCATGCCATCTCTTGGTCCTGATTGAATAGGACACGATATTCCGAGAGCTGCTCGTTCACTAGCCATTCGATTAGATCACGTCGCACCTAAGAAGAGTGAACATCATGATAATCTATCACATAACAATCATACAATGCTGGTCTAGCGGGATGAGGGTGATGGCTCCCCGGTGACCCACCTGCGGTTCCAAGTGATTCAGAACTTGACATGCATGAGCGATGTTCGGCTTCATAGTTTTCCCAGGTCCGAAATTTTCCCTGAACTCTACAGAGATCTGATCTGCGAGCTCTCTCCTTATTTGGGAGACATCCCCCGCTAGCGTGGCAATCTGGGGTATTCCCAGGAAGGGTCTGATGGAGATGCCTTAGACTTTATTCCTCGCTCGACTGTCCGTGGTGACCATTGGCAAGCGCCTCCGGATCGTCAGGACTAATGACGAATTATCCATGAACGGCTCAATGTGGATTTTCGAAAGCGAGAGCTCACCTAAAATCTTCGAGCACGGTGATGACTCCTTGGAGAAGCTGCGCGAGGCCCTGATATTCTCTCTGTCTGTGGAGGAACAAGTCGTTTTTGAGCTGTTTCGATGATGGATGAAAGCTCCAATTCGACGAACGCAGAGATTGACGTATGGAATATCTCACTTGGTGAGTTCTCTGAGGCGATCGGCTCCCTCGATCAACATCTGCATCTGATTCAAGGACTTTATCGACGCTGTCAGATGACGTTTGGCGTGATCCAATTGTTTTATGTCTCGCGTGATTTCCTTAACGCGTTTCTCAGACGAGTCTGCTTTCTCCTGTACAAAAGTGTTTTCGAATGAGCTCCGATACCTGAGCTGCCTCCGGCGATCACAGGGCCGCGAAGGTCCGTATGCCCGAAATCATCATAGATATACGGGCGTACTTATTCCATAGCAACCTTGATATCTTTGACAGAAGCGAAGAGGTGGTGAAGGGCAGTCTGTGCTTCCTTAAGAGAAGCTCTTCCATCTGCATTCGGAGCCGTTTGCCGTCTGACGACCGATCGAATTTCATCATCTAAGCCTCTAAGAAGACAGTGATCACATTTAGAAGAGATCGTGTAGGTCACTCCGCTGCTCGACTTCTGCCGCTTATCCCATGAGCAGAACGTTCAATAAGCAACGAATCCGAAGGCAGCGTACCCTATTCGGTTCCGCAGCATCAGCATCACATCGTCTACGTTCGCTAGACTTTGTTCATTCGGAAAAATTGAGTTGATGTACGTCACAGGATCGAAATCCGACTTGTCGAGAGGATCCGTTGACGGAAGAACCTAGGAGAAGAGTACAATATGGCTCATTGTGGATCCATTGCACAAAACTGATTCCAGCTGAATCCAGGTGGGTTCACAATACCTGGTTCAAAGCGTTTTGAACCTCTGGAGGAAAGTTCGTGCCGTACAGGATATCTTCTCGATTCATTTCCCTGAGGGAAGAAGGTGGGGTTTCAATTCCTCTAATCGACGAGGAAGTCGGCGGAAATGAGAGCTGGACCTTGGCGAGAATCAGGCTAAGTCCATGTGTCCAATCAGAAGACTCCATGTATATCTCCTCTTCTCGACTCTTCTGATAGAACAGACAGAACTATTATGTCCCTCGCGATCAGTCGAGATTTTAAGAATGAAACTCTCACCCTGCATGGATTTCTGACTCCTCCGGTGGATACAAGATATGTCTTATCCCGAGATTCCTCTCTCGAGATCGCTGACCCCTCTGTCGCTCCTTATCGAACACCTGTCACATCGCGCCGGACTATCCCTCCCACATTAGATGTCCTCTGCCACTAAGCTTCGTTGGCAAAAAACTGCCAGGCCGTCGTGATCTTTTCGTGACCACCAAGAGAAGTTCACAGCCCAACTACAATATGTTCGAACAAGATCAGCGCTTCACCAGAACGAGGCTCAATCAGATGATATGTTCCGGAGGAATCGGCTGACGGGATGAGGCGGCAGGTAGGGGAAAGTAGCTCTCCCAGAGGGCGCCACCCTAGATGTCCATACATGCGGTCGTCTTTAAGGCGCTATCGGGGTCTCGGTTCGGATGCAGGAACCCCACATAAGAAGCGTGAAGCGATTCCGACACAGAGTAATTCAAAGCTGTTCCAAATAAAGTCGAGGCAAGGCTGTCTTGTACATATTTATCTCCATGTTTCGTTTCCGCGAGCTCATGCAGCCCGATGGCGAATGTGCGTGGAAGTTATGGGAACACATGGCACGAATCCACCTCTCTCGGGAGACGAGATACGGAGGCCTCGCGGGGAACCGCACGGAAAGTCTTCGCTGGAGAACTCTCTTAACGTTGGCGAGACGGCTTGAGGAAAGCCATGTGTGTCTCTCGAAGGCATGGAGATCAAGTAATCGATAGAACCAGAATAGGAGCATGACATCGAAGAAAGCAGGGAAATACAATCAGGGAGCGAATTGGAACTTATTCGAGGAAAAGCCCTGTTCCGTTCCGGCTGGGTTGAGAGCAGTCATCGACTTCTCGCCCATTTTGACAAGCTCAGGCTAGAGAAACAGAGCCCTCCGAGGTCTCATGAATTTTGAGCGAGGATGCTCCCGAACGATGGCATCCTCCAGGAAGCGGGGAGGGGGGGATTCCTGAGCGTTCAGGGAGTTTCCAGATGAACATCCAGATCCTCCTCAGTCACAGTATCGGACACAGCCTCCAGTATTGAAGGATATTCCAACGAGCGCGTGGTCTTGCTGTCCCTTCCAAGAAGGTGCTGCTCTGGGCAATTAATCATCCACTCCGAAGCGTCGATTCCCACGCTCATGCCTCAGTCAAGGAACATCATATGTCAGGCCACGCAGTCTCTCCACACTTACAGGATGGAGGGATCGACATGTGGCCATATGCCGCGTATTCGAAATTCGGCGCCACGGTCGCCAGTCGCTCCCGAGGCTTGTTTTGAAAGCAATGCGTTCATTCAGCGTTTCTGTCTACCATTTTGAAGTTACGAGAGAATATATACATTAACAGAGCAGTAAGAGGTGTTGTTGTTGTGACTCGAAGCGCATCTTGTGTCAACTATCTGAGTATAAGTGTCTCGCCCGGTCGGAACAGCTACGAGGATACATTGTCCCCCTCTAAAAAACTGCTCATGCAAGTGTTGCTCGCTGTCGAACTTTGATTGGACCTTGCGGCGGCGTCTCAAGCTCAACAACAAAGCTCATCTAAAAGGAGCGGCATTCGCGGCAGTCGGATTAGTGTTGGCGGAAATTTCATACGTTCGTGGTCCCCGTCGTGAGCTTGCGAGGCGACGTCGAATCTAAGGTATCGCTCATGAGGAACAACATTTTCTGAGCATCCGTCGAACGACACCATGGACAACAACGTGGAAGACGATCACAGGTACGACCTAATTCCGCACTTCGCTGGATTTCTCCACGATCTCCTAGTTCGCTCCGGATGGGAAAGCCGCTCAGATTCCCCGTTGCCAAACATATTGTTCCTTGGGCGATCCTGGGAAAACCACTTGTGAACCGACCCTCCTGGGCCACAGACAGATACTCGGTGTCTCGCTTCTTCGTGTGAGCGATGGCGCCAGCGGTTCTCTATGCATTTTCGAGAACAAGCTTGTCTGTCTTTCTGCGGTAGAAGCATCCTCCGAGATCCGGTTCGGATTCTCCTGTTATCCTCCGAAGAATGGAAGAATCGATGGTGCATCAGCTGCCGAAACTTGGCATCCCTATTCCCCGGATGTCAGATGTCAGCTCATGACTCCTGAACGGTGGTAGGTGAGATGCATCTGGGAGCTCGAAATCAGAGTCGGTGAATATCTTCCATAGCGGTTCCTTCAATTTCGGAAACGGAGCTGATCTCTACCGAGCAGCAGCACGACTCCCAGAGCGTCCGTTGGGATCGACTCAGGGCTTCCGGGCGTTCTTTCATGCCCTGCGCCAGATATTGCGCTTCTAAGATCTATGAGGACCTATTGCTCCCAGCGAATAGAGTTATTAAGTTCGGAAGATTGAAGCTCCTCTATACTTTACCGCAGAGAATCGGCGTTGTATATGTTAAGGACCAGCTGGCAATTGGAAATTCTCGAAGATTGATTGACATGTTAGTCATGAGTTATTTCTCGCCCCGCTCCCGGGGTATAGGTCAGTGGGGAAAAGAGCGAAATTCAAGCCGGGAGACGAACGGGCAGGCGAATTGCTCGTCGAAATGGTCTCAGCTGAAGTCCAGCAAGGCAGCGCTGCCGCAGTCAACGGATCCTTACTTGTGGGCAACTCCATGGCCGGTTCGGCCCGGTAATTCAATTCTCGCATATTCGAGTGCAATCGATGACCTCGGATAATACGAAATACCTACTCGGATCGGAGATTCGGATCTGGTTGATCATGTCGAAAATCTGGTGCTCGGGGTGGAAACAAACCGATTGGTTCCCTATTCGGCCCGCATTTGACGATCGGCTGAGTTGTCGCGGTCAAAGAAACCCTGACCGGAAGTTTGAGAAGCGCTTGCTCGAGGTCGCGAGAATGTGCGGAATATCGAGTCCATACTCCCGAGGATAGTTCTTTCCAGTAATTTTTGAGCTTCCGAAGTCTCGTTCCTGTATCAAGAATATTCCACCGACTCACAGAAGCGCCCAAGCGTCCGACGTTGATCCGACACTGTGGAGAGCAGTCGGGAGAATTGAAACCTTTTTCCTTGCATTTCAGCATCTCCTGCTCTACGCCAACGTTGAAACCTGGAGATGGCATCCGCGAGTCGGCCTGTGAGCCGGTCGTCAAACTTGCGCCCTCGGAAGTCGAAGAACTGCACTCGAAGCTGACGACCCTTCAAGAGGTTAGTGAGACGTGTTATACATATTGCTGCGGCAGCCTTCCCGCGAGCTCCATGTGCGCAAGTGACTCCACATGCGAGGACGCTGCATGTGTACGATGATGTTCCCCTGGAATCCAATCGCTTTCGTGGAAAGAAATTCTGGTGCGACTGAACAGCGAAGTCTTCTCATAATTGAACGCTGTCGTAAAACATCGATCACTCCATCCAGGCAATCGTCAAAGGGAACAGAGAGAAGTCTCAACTCGAAGTTCAAATCGTCAACCTGAAATCTTGCTTGCAAGACAAGAAAAGCGCAACCAACGATAACGAACCGGGACAGCTTCTCGATACTTTGTTATCACTCTTGCAAAAACGAGCCGATACCGGCCGAGGGAAATCGAAATCTCCGAGACTCGATCCCGCTTTCGCGAGCAAGGTCTCCAAACTAATGACGCTCTGCACCTCGGATTCTAAAAAGTGAGTCATATCCATATAGGACAGGCGCTTCGCTGTCTTGTTAGATTGATAAGATTCGATTCATCAATCCCTCCCCCCTAAACCAATTCTCGATTACCCATCGCTCATCCCATGAGCTCATCGTCTAACCAGAAGCGCGCATCACTATTATGTCGAAATTCGGATTCGCAATTCTTTCCGAAAAATTCACACCGGTTCAAGCATGCGGATTGACAGTGCTCTAGCTCAAGTTTCGACTCATTACCTATTGCTTGAGCTTCAATTATGCGTGCGAATACCGAAATACCCGAAACTCGGACCACATTCCTTGATTCGATCTCAACCCCCCTCGCCCATCTCACAGAGAGGACACGGGTCAAAATGGGATCTCGTCCACGAGTTCTCACGGACCAGATCAGAACGCGAACACGAACGCTGTTTCACCAAGCACGTCCCAATGCTCGGCGAGCGTCGATAAGTATCAGGAGAAGATTAAAAAACAAGAAGAAACAATCCAAGGCTTGAATTCCGCTTTGTCCGAGGTGAGAGCATCCATGAATTCTTCGATGGCCATCGATTGGATCGTCGAACGACCAGCAGGGAGTTGAGAAACTCAGCCCCACCATTCTGAGAGCCGAAAATCTGAGAGCACCCAACCTTTCCAGGTGGAACTCATCCTCGAATCGAGTCACTGTAAAAACGCTCTCCTCAAAGAACAGTTGGCCAAGTTGGATGAGGAGAACAAGAGATTGAGGACCGCTTCGAAAGGCGCGTCGGACAGGTTGCAACCCTCTTCATCGTCAGAGGTGAATTTCGAAATTCCAGAGATCGTTCTCGTTAGAGGCAGGGATCGGTGTGAGATCTCTGGGAGGTGGGTCTGCTCGCTCAGCCTGACACTCTCCCGTATTTTTCAGAAGCCATTGAGCTCTCTCGTCTCAGCTGTGATCGAAAGCCAACTCCGCAAAGAGCTGGAATCAGTGCGTTCGGAGAACGATCAGCTTAAGCAGCGCGAATCGGAGCTGGACGCCAAGTGCGCGGATTTCAGCCACCAGATCGAGAACCTGACTTCGCAGCTGGCCGAATCTCAGGGTTCGAGTGGTCAGGGCACTGATTCTCAGGCCGAGCTGGAGAAGCTCAAGCGAGAGAACCAAAATCTCGTGCTGACATTGAGCGATATCCAACACAACCTGAATCGAGCAGAAAGCGAAATCGACCGTCTCAAGGCTGCTGGAGGTGGGAAAGCCATGCCCGAAGATCCGACCTTGAAGAACGAGGTGGAAGCCCTACGCAAGGAGTTGCAGGACTCACACTCTCGCCTCAAGGACGTCCAGGCCGATCTCGCGTCCACGGAAAATGAAAGAGCGAATTTGATCAAGCGGCTCGAGGACGAAAAACTGGTGGTCGAAGAGCTCCGCGCCTACAAAGTTCAAAGTGAACGGATCTTGAAGGATAAAAGCGAGGAATGTGGAAGAATGCACGACGAGTCACTGACGTTGAAGGGTCAATTGGAGACAGCGGAAACGCTGTGCAAGTCCACTGAGACCGAATGTGCGTCTCTCAAAACGAAAGTCAAAGATCTCGAAGAGCGGTTAGAACTTCTCGAGGATGAGAACGCTACATTAAAGAATCAAGAATGTTCAGCGCCGCCTTCGCTCGAGACCGAAATGCTCTTGGAGGAGTTAAGGAATGACTTGGTGAATGCCAGGCAGACGTCCGATGAAGCACATCAGCAATTGAAGGGTAAAAACGGTAAGAGCCACCCGGAAGACGGCCCCGAAGATGGGGGCAGGGACACCCTTTTCATTCGAGTCGCTATGTGGACGTTCGGATTAGATAACTGAGGACCAATTTCTCTCTCTTCGTCGCAGATCGAATAGAGGAGTTAGAAACACTCTTGGAGAAGGCGCAGGGTAATTGCTCGGTCCAACAGCAGCAGAATGACGAGCTCGTCAAAGAGTTGACCGACGAGATCGAAAAACTCGAGAAGACGCATACCGAGGAAACTACCTCATTCAATCAGCGGATCAACAGCCTGAACAAAGACAAACAGAAGTTAGACCGGACAATCGAGGAGGTGAATAGAACTCTCTGTCTTCATAAAACATCAGAAAGCGCCGCAACGCAAGCTAAACTCCCGGTCCGGAGTCTTATGATTTCTCATTTTACATTTCAGTTGACTACGAGTTTAGAAATCGAGAGGGAGGGCACGCGGGCTTCCGAATCCAAGATTGCAACTTTGGAGTCGAAAGTTGCCGAATTGGAAAAGGCAGTGAAGCTGGCGGAGGAGAAAGCCGTCGAGTCCAAAGATCAGTTGGTTAAGCTACAGCAAGAGGGCCAGTCAGCTAACAAAGCACAAACCGATCTCCAGGTAGGACACTCATTTCTTTCCGCATCGGCTCCGGAGACTTCCCGCAGCCTAATGTACTTGGAGGATATACATCTAGTGGGGCGCGGAGATTGAACGACTCCTCGATCAGTTAGGGCGCACCCGATTATTCGACCTCTCTCGAGACGAGTACTCACCGCACCTGTGTTTCAGAATGAGCTGAGAGCTGCTCGGAACGAGTTGGAAGAACTCGAGGCTCGAGCTGCTCACGCTGAAGTTGCCAAAGAGGACACGAGAGCAAAGCTCCGACATGCCACCGAGGAAAATGGGCGCATCATGCAAGAGTTGAAGGCCATGGAGGAGGAGAAGACGTCTCTTCACGTCGATCTGGTCAAATGTCGGCAGCAGCTCTGTGATTCGACACAGCTGAAGTCGAATATGGAGAAAATGCGAACGGAGAACAACGAATTGAAAGCTGCGGCGGAACGCGCGCGCAAGGATTCCGAGCGACTCCGAGCCGAGAGCGAAGATGCGTTGAAGCAGAGCGAACGAGCCTCCGCGGAAGCTGCCAAAGCTCGCCAAGAGGCGGCTAACAGCGCTTCGGCGGCCTCCCGAGACAGAGAAGCACTGATGTCGGAAATCGCCGCTCTGAGCGAGAAGCATCTGAAAGTCAACTCGGAACTCGAAGCGATCCGTTGCGAGAATAAGGCCAAGGTGGAGATCATCTCTCAAATGAACAGCCAGACGGCTCAGCTCAAATCACAAAACTCGACGCTCCTTCAGAAGACGAAAGAGGTCACTCACGAGAAGGACACGCTAGAACTCCAGATGAGCGCATTGAAGACCGAAGTTAATGCGAAATCGAATCAAACCGAAAAGCTTTCAAAAGACCTCCGGGCTCAGATGTCACACAACGACAACCTCAAGAAGCAGGTGTCCAAACTGGTGATAGCGGTTGCGGAGAAAGAGAAACACATCGCTGGCCTGCACAGCGAGAACCAAAAACTGCGTTCCGAGAACCAACTTTACGGTGAGAAACAGAAAGGCCAGGACGCACTCATCAACCGCATCGCCGCGCTGGAACAGGACGTTGTGAATAGCAAAATGACGATTTCGAAAGTGTGTGCCGAGCGAGAGGAGACCCTTCGTCAACTGGAGGAGCTCAAGAAAAAACATTCCGCTGTTCTTCGAGAAGCCGAAGTCAAGGCGAACAAGGCTCTCGCGGAACAGAAACTGTTGCTTGAGAAGAGTGACAAAAATCAACGAGCCCTCGAAGATTTAAAGAAAAGCCTTGATCGCGCGGTCAGCGAGAAGACGATCGCCGATAGCCGGTGAGTGCCTGTGCCGATTGCGCGTATTTATCCGAGAAAATTCCCAGAGTCTCGACAGATGGGCTCCTAGGAATTCCGAAATTCAATGAGTTTTGATGCTAAATCTTTCCAGGTGTCGCGCTTCTTTAAATCTCTCTCGAAGGCTCGAGAAAGAAGTGCAAACCTTTCAGAAGGACAAGGAGCGCTTTACCAGGGAGATTGACGAAGCTCGGGACAACGTACGATTTCTCGAGCGTAAGTACAGTATTCACACGTGTATCGATGCAGCTAAAAAATCCCATCGTTCGGACACTGCTGGGGATCGGTCAGCGGAAATGGGCCATGGGTCGGAGAATCCCCGCGATCGACCGGACCGACGTTGAATGGATTCCTTCATGACATCGAATTTAAGAATCAATAGACCCTCATATACATAAGTTTTCTCCTTCTTCAGGTGAACGTTCCGAGCTGCTCAAGGCTCTCGGTGAGCTCCCGCTCATGTCTCAGAACTTGCAGCTAGAGATCGACACCCTCCGCGCGGAGAACGCGAGATTGAAAAGTCGAAATGGTGCAGCTGCGAGTCGAAAACCTAACAAGAAAGAATCTCTGGACGCTCCAATTGTGCCAAAACAAACCAATTCGCCTTTACAAAAAAGTGAGTGTTGAGTGAGCCGCCACATCGATTCGATAAGAGCTGAAACGGTATGATTCGCGATTTCTGACGCGAGAGTTCCCGCGTCAGAGATCTCTGAGCGGAGAGCTGGGACAGACATAAATCGACGCCACGCAGCTGTTGAGCGGTAGTCGTTGAGCGTCGTCACCGGGAAAGGGAAATGAGTATGCGCTCTAGCGAATGGTGGCTTCCGCTGCCGCTCTGCTTTCGCCGTGTGGCTCCGTGGCCAAGTGGCAAGGCGTCGGTCTTGTAAACCGAAGATCACGGGTTCGATCCCCGTCGGGGCCTTCTAGTTTTACGGAATTTCTGCCAGAATCATCCAAGAATACCAACTGTTCCGATATACGGGGGGCTCCGTGCGTTATTTGCGGTTCGATAAATTGGGGGACCCCCTACCTCTTCAACGGTTTCTCTCTGCGAGATGCTAGATACCCCCACAGGCCACCGTCGCAAGTCGACTCCGAGTGGGTAATATCTTGTATCGGTCCAGCCAGGAACTCGGGAAACTTTCTATCGTGGATGACCAGGAAAGAAACCTCATCACGCTCCTTCTCGTTTCAGAGAAAACCATTTTCGCTCGCCTCAAAGGCGAAAAACCCGAGACCGTGGACGACTCGTCGTCTCCTGTGAAAACGAAGATCAAGATCTTCGAGACGAAAGCTGAAGAGAGCTCTCAACAAGCGATCATACCTCCGAGACGACGAGGAGTTCGGCGGAGTGCGAGCGAAGCCGAGATGAGTCCTGCACCGCAAGCCAAAAGAGCCAGTACAGATTCCAAGGAGACGCCCGTCACCAAGAAAGCAATTCCCAAAGGTGGGTAGGCTGCATCAATATTTTATTGTACGATCTTCCATCAATAGGCGAAGGCTAGCCAGAGATCGGGGTCTCCCGCGTGCAGTGTCCTGACCAAGATCTCTTTGTTTTCCAGCACGGAGCAAGACGTCGTCCTCGACCGAAGAGGAAGAGGCACACGAAGAGGAGCAAGAAGAACAGAAACCCACACCTCCCGTAAAACGTCGCAGCAACAAAACTAGTTCCCCGACCCCACCGAAATCGAGAGGACCCCTCACGCCGGCAGGTGTCAAAAACAAAGATACGAAGAGCCGACAGGAGCGCGCCGAGAGTGTTCCAAAAGGTCGACGGTCTCTCATCAAAGGAACTCCGAAGAAGGCGAATGTTGTCGCTGATGTGGCCTCCGAAAGCCCCGCCAGTGGGAGATCGTTGCGAGCATCTACACTTGTTGTCAAGAAAGCTTCCGATATCGATGCGAAGCAACGTGAGCAGTTGAAGAAACGTGGTAGCGGTACTTTTGTATAAAACTGTAGCTAGGTACGTCCCCATCAGGAAGCGGGGAGCTTCCGACGAGAACTTACAGAAGGTCGCGAGGTCAGCCGCAGAGGGAGTGTTCGCGCCGCTCTATCTCTCCGTGTAGGGGACTTTCTCTGCATGGATATTGATGAGGGAAGCCGCGAACGGGGAGCGGAGGAGACGAGCAACCCGGTAACAACCGATGAATACCCCGGCAGCGAAGTATTCGGTGTATAGTTATGAAGTTTGTAAAAATCCGCTGCCGGGAGCGATGATCATCCTGGTACATGGTCGAGATTCGGGAATCTGAGAGAGTTGATCAGAAAAGCAATTACTCGAACCAACAATATATTGAGCGTCGTCTCCACTATCGCTGATTTATGCGGATCGGATTGAAACTCCTCGGGATCCGTCTTGTCGTTGGATATCATTCACCTGCACCCTTTCCTTTGGATCGAAAGCTCCGGGAAGGAGGTCGGTGACACGGGAGGACGGAATGGGATAGAGACGGACCGGCAGACGTTCCTGCGGAAGCGTAATTCCATACGTGCGAAGAGCGAATTGGAAAAGGCTATCCAGCTGAGCTGCTTCAAGTGCATGATGGTGTATTTGTGTACTTTAGTTCTAGCCATGATACGCACATGATGGAAGATGTGGCAGTAGGCGAAATCAGAATCTTACCAATCGTAATCATTCGTCGGAACCCGATGTTAACTCAGACCGACAGTTCGTTTCGCTATTTGTGGCTTGCCGGTCGATTCGCGCTTAGGTATTCTGGAGGCTTTCTTGGTACGACCGTAGGCGACGGAGCAGTTCGCTATCGGATATCGTTGAACGGTTTGCGAGTCGGCCGGCTGAAACCGCAAGAAATGATGAGGCAAGATGACAATGCTGCTGAACAACAATCTGAATGGACTCATGCTCCTCTCGAGATGAGCAGGCGACGCGACGCCGTTCCTGGTCGAATCACCATCACACTCCTCCTGTTCATGATCAGACCCGTCGAATTGTTTCTTCCGACATTCCTCTGGGGCTCGATGTTCGAAATGTGAAGCGAATGTCGTTCATGCATCGGACCCCGGGTCGAATATTTTGTGCCGCAGAGCTCAGGTAGCTTGACGCTCCGAATCTCGAAGTGGTGAGCTGTCCATTCTAATCGGATCCTTGGTCAGGTCCATCATCCAGTCTTGGTCGGCTTGGCCATGTACGATCGTCGTATGTCTTCTACGATTACATGATCGCCTCGAGTTCGTAGGGTTTCGCTGGAAAAGACCTCGGTACGCCGATTATTAAAATCATCGATATTGTCAACATTATCATCATAAGTATTGATGTCGGCTTGTCAGCCCTCGCTGAGACGATCCGCGACGTGCGTTGTCATCGTACATATTATTTAGCGTCGTCAGGCAAGACTCAGCACGCTTCCGTGGAATGCTTCCGAATTGAGTCGTAGCAGGCCGACCACGGTTTGTTTGCCACATGAGAATTTCGTCGCGGAAGACCCCTAGGTACTCTGCCCTCTGATCAGGGATATCATCCTCATCCACATTGGTTCATCACTATTATTGTCATCCTGAGCACCATCACTGCTGACATGAGTGCATCTCTTATCCCTCATCGTTGTCGTGATCGTCGACGTTTGCAACTGAATCAGCATGAGGGTACCACAACACGGATGACCTTCGAGTTCGGGGATTAGTTAGCAATCAAACTTTGTCAAGATTTCGACTGATTGAGCTCGAGATGAAATCAATTCCAATCCAGACACATACATTTATATTGAAAAGAGACAATATATATGAATTATGAACGTAGTTCCCAACAAATGAACACACAGAGAACAGACGCGAAACATACAGACTGAGTGAGTCATTGATTTCTTCTGTCGTCATTAGTGCTAGGGAGAACTCGCGTATATTTGTCAGCGTTGACTCGGGATCGTGAAACGAACCGTCTCTGCCTGATCGCGACGGTAGCAACGACGGGATCGAACGCGAGTGAAAATGCATCAATTTACGGAAAAAACTATTCTAATACTAACTTGGAGTGCTGTTATCAGTATATGCCCGCGCTTGACTGGGACTAAGCTACGGTCTACTCTCTCTCCACAACGACTTCGATGACGAGCTGGTTCAACCTGATAATTCCATGAGCCAGGAGAGCGGTATGGCCGGACGCCGAATCTACCCAAATCTCCAACGCTGCATTTCCGTGTCATCCGAACACATCCATGGAAAACTTTTGGATGAATACTGTCAGTATCTACATACTACTTAAACGCGGTACACCAAAATAAACGACATGGTTCACTATTTCTTGACAGATGAAGATGCTTTGTTTTTGATCTCGTTGATCTTCTCCTGGTCGGTCCTACCAGCGGAACTTTGATCTCAGGTTTGTCTTCGACGGACTTCACTCTACAGCGGCTCTGCTGCGAGAAGTAATACTTGATTTTCCGAGCGATTCAAGAGTCTTGCTTGGCGTTCCAAAACAAGCTGCGAATCCAGTTCTGGAAACGCCCCCCTCCGGCTTCCATCGCAAGTTAGTATGCTCGTGATGCCCTTCCATCGCCTCCAAGCCCAGCCCTTATGCGGAGATCATGAATTTGCGAAAGATACTCCGTAATGAGGGCGCATGAAGGTCAGTCAGTCGCCTCCGGGTCCCCCCGCTTCGCCCAGCCGAGTTTCGAGCTCTCATTTCTTCCCGAATTCAGCCGTGACTGTGTCACGTGACAGGGCGGGGATACGCCGGGGCAGCTTTTTTGGTACGGGAGTCGATTTTTTTTAACAAGACGCGCTGTCATGAGGCGATGGAGCATCAATATCTCTCTCAGAAGTGCAGGCTTTCGTGACCCTCTAGGACTCTAGGAGCTCCCGAGCGCATTCGCCGATGTCCGACTCAATATTCCAGGGAAAAGCCGATCCTCGCCAGATTCGAGTCGATCTCCGAAAGGATTATTCACAGCATCGCATCAGGCTTGCATAAGCCAAATGCGGGATCCCGAGGCAGCCTCAGGACTGTAACCGGATGTGCGAGAATCAGGAGTCCACGGAATTCGTGAGAAACATTGGTCCGCGACGCTCAATGCTCAAACCATGCTCCTACGATAGTGCTATTCCGCATCCCTACGAACTAGGTATCAGAATAATCCCAATCATCCCTTAGTCCCCGTATTTATCCTGGTCCGGCGGGTGGTCACGGAGTCGGCAACTTTCGAAAATCATGCGGTAGAGCTCCGATATCTGGCCTGTAGCCGGAAACCAGCTTAGCACCTATCGCCGATGATTTCGTTTGACGTTCGCGTTGCCAATCGCTCACTTTCTGTTCCCGATGATGTATCTTCTCGCACTCTGATTCTGATCTGTTATTTGGTCTCAGAGCCCAAACCCAGTCTAATAAGAATGACCAAGGAGGGGGATGTTCCGCAATCCGATCTCCTCGAGCAGGAGTCTGGAGTGGCCAGCAGCGTGCGAGTTGGACTCCGCCGCATAATTATGTACCAATTAGCCTCGCGGGTGCGAGTTCGGAGGCGGGATAGTCATCGCGCCAATTCAGTTTTTGTCTCTTTCGGTAGCAACGCAAGGCTCATTTCCGGATTCATCATGGCTTCCGGCGTTGCGAGACGAACGGGACAGATCATGGCTGGACAAGTGTTCCGAGCTCGTTCCGAAGATTCGTTCCGCGGGTGGAAAACGACCTCACAAGAGGCGAAGGAAACGCGTCGCGTGCCCGCCACTCCTGAGCGCCAGCGCTGTTTTGTTCATCAAGCTCTGCATCAGATTTAGGCGGACTACTAATATTGATGTTGAACGTGATTTGAAGTGTCCTAGTGACCTGGTACAACGGATTGCGTTCATAAGCTTCTCTGTGCATACGCCGAGCCTCGATATTCCATCCTCGAGAGCGTCCATCTAAAGAAATAACTCCGTCAGATTCTCCGAGAATCTCCTGGATGGGACACGCAGCTCGCTCGGGAAGTTGAGCCTGATGTGGAGGTCCGAGTTCCTCGGAGGTCACAATCGGGGTGGCCTGAGAGAAAAAGTCTCGTCAGGAAGCAGAAGAGAGGAGAAGCCATCCCATCCCTCACGGTCCTTCTACAGCATGACTGAACGATGTGCTGAAGGCTCATAGAATGGAGAATTCCGCGAGCCGACCAACCAGCAGGTCAAATGATGATCGATCATGTCGATGTTAGAAAACGTTGATTTATTTTCCGAACGGATTCTGTTTTGGAAGAGCTCCTTGCACCGAGTTTCTGTGCGCCGCGCACGCTGAGTCGAGGAGAGTATCTAGAACACTTTGACGCTCCGTTGAATGCGGGGTCCGAGATCCGCGACAGCCTGTGGATTGGCCTTCCTCCATCTGCTGTTGTCGAATCAGGTGGAAATCTTAAGTAGGTGGTCACTGCTGAAGGCGACGATGTCGAGAAATAAGGTGAGAAGAAGAGGCGCATCCTCGGCGAGATATGGCGCAGCCGAGGTCGGAGCTCAGTTGCCAGGTAGGCACGGAGCCAGTCCAATAATTTGTGAGGTATGTAGAGTACCGCCTTGACGCCTCGACGCACCCTTTGGTTCCGCTGTAAGTCGCGTGTCGCGTTTCAGACCGAATGGATCAGTATCAAGCCTTAGGTAGATGAAGACGAAAGCAACTGGACCACTCGCCGCGCGGCCGACTCAACTGTCGGCGACTCCCCCTTTACATTATGCTCGGAAAACAGATTCGAACGGAAAGGCGATTCCTCTCTCTAGGGTCACCATGGAGGAGCCACGGATATTCTCCATTAGCAGACTGAGCTCTCAGCCTATTTGCTGGCCGATATCTCATCGTAAGATCGATACCGAAAAAAAAATCAAGATTCAGCTCATTTTTATTTCTCCGACAAAAGGTCTTGTTCTCTCCAAAGAGTCCGCCTTTAGCTTCAATTACCGCGGCGCGAATTCTAGGCATCCTCCTCGTCAGACTGTCCAGAGTATCCTGCCCGATGTCACCCCATTTCTTTGCAAGGCACTCAAAGTGCATCCATACATCCATACTTGGAAGCTCCTCATTTCGGATTGCTCTGTCGAGTTCGTCCCACAGCAGTTCGATCGGAGGGTATAGACCCAGTAAGCCGAAACTTTCACGCCGAAACCTAGAAAGCCGAAACCTGGAACGCCGAAACCCAGAACGCCGGAAATTCCTTCTGGCGGAAATACCGATCACACGTTCCGGAGGAATACAAAAAGCTTTTTCTTCGACATTCAGTTCTCTTTCCAAACTCATCTCCGTGATCGCGAGAGGTTCCGAAGGATACGAGTTCCTTCTTTTCACAATGTCCTCTTCGACTAGGCATTCCTCTAATCTTATCTTCACAACTGACTTTGGATGTGTCATGGTCTGGGCGCGGGGGCCAGACCATGACACATCTAAACCCCCTTCCTCTTTTCGGAACGAAGATAATTCTTGCATGGATGGGACTTGTGCTCACCGTATACCGATTGCCGGACTCACTCTGCACGCGAGCAATTTCTCGGAATTTGAATCCTGCTCTGTGCAAGGCACCGTGGTAGAGGTCGCAGGTCGACTTCTTCGCCACCGTCGGTTAAATACTATCGGGAAGTAATGAGCTTCCTTATTGACTCTACGGGTTCCACGATGTTTGAATTTGATGGCGGACGTTTTTTTTCAACTTCAGCCATGGCGAGACTTGGTATCAGCATTGGCGCTATTGATCTCTCTCCTCAAGCCACCCACAGAGCCCACTTTCCCGATACCGATCCCGACGAGGGAAATCGGCCGTCCTCGAGGGACTCGAATCCCGGACCTCCCCGAAGATAGCAGGTTGCGTCGGCAGCGGTGACCCCTCGGCTACCGAGCACGTGGACTGTCATCGTCTTCGACGTGTGGAGACGTGACCTTATTGACGTAGGACTCCTATACGCGCCCAAGTGTACAGTGTGACGGTTGCTGCGCTTACGCCTGAAGCGCGCCGAAATTCGAATGATTCCCGGATGAAGTCAGTACGGATGGCATCGAAGTTCAGTTTTTCCTGGAGATCGAGTGGGTATATCGGAATGAAGTCCGGCTGGGAGCTTCCTCTGTTGATGGAGAGTATCCTGCGCTTGTATTTAGGCCCTGTTATATTCCGTAAAATCGCGTTTTCGATCGGGTCGGTTTCTCGAGCATAGCACAGAGAAGGAGTCATGCCGACGATGAAGCTGACCATGGTGACGGGTTACATCGCTCTCTCGTCTTTATCTAGCGGCAGCTCAATACTATCTATTATGTTGGTATCGAAATCGATTTTCAGCCGTCACATTGGGTGCTTCGAAACTTCTTAGCGGTACTGTAAGCATGTCGATACAGCTGACTGACTGACATGAGTGAGATGTCTCGGCTCTAGCTCCTCTCACCTCTCTATCCTTCCTCACTCGTCGTCGGCTGCACAGGTATTTACAAACAATAGCGGGGCTATATTATTGTTGTGATGATGATCATCGTCGCCGTCTCGTCGATCGTTGCTGCCGCTTCTTTCTTGACGCTGGCTGCCTGGCTCCAATAGTCCGTGTTTTTAGCGGTGCGACGACTCACACTGATCTCTCTGCACTCGCCCATGTTGAGCATTCGTTCCGGATGCTCACAGCCTTGTGGTTTCTCGGCTCTCGCTGAAATCGCTACTGTGTGAGCTGTCACTCGTGTCGGCGTTGCTGCTATCTGTGAACATCCCGTTGTTCCATATAATTCGTGGCCATCGTTGCAGAGGAATGGCTCGGGAACCATAACAACCTCTCCCATCACGGGTTGGTCTGGTGGTGGTGGTGGGGGAAATGGCCGCCTTGCTACCTCCACCGCGCCGGGCACCTGGAAGACCCCGAGCGCCTCCCCAGCTGAGTGCACTTCAAATTCTTCTGCAAATGGGCTTTCCGAAGCATCGCGCGGAGAAAGCCCTCGCAGCGACCGGAGAACGGGGAGTGCAGCTGGCCGCCGACTGGCTGCTGTCACATGTCAACGATCCCACGCTCGATAGCTGCACTCCGAGAGAGTACATCCTTTACCTGTGTCCTTCCGGTCCCCTGTTCGGTCAGCTGCAGAACTTTTTCCTACAGTCGATGCTGCAGCACGGTCGGAACGGGGCTCACAATTATCTTCCTCACATCACGTTGTGTTCGTTCTTCCAGCTGGCGGATGATTCTGTCTCCGACGTGATCAAGGCTCTCGAATTGATCTGTGATAAACTCAAAGGGGAGTTGCCTGACCGAATCAAGCTGGAGCATTACACCTCGCAGACGTTTCTCGGTCTGTTCGTCGATCAGAAACACAACGAGATGCTGAAGAAAATCAGCGTCAATTTCATGCGGGAAACGTCGGATCTGCAAATCAGCGTCGAACCCTACCTTAAAGCGCTTCACGTCACGCTGGCATACCAGTTCGACGTTACTCACTACGGGAGCCTCGAGAAACTCACGCAGATGATCGACACCGAGGCTCCCGCCTGTTGGGAGCTCAGACTGTACTCGCGAGATATGAGAATCAAAGGAAATGAAGTTCACAAGGTTCTCTACTCGCACACACCACAAGAAGCCGACGAGTTAGAGCTTGTAATAGGAGATCTCGTCTACGTATCCGGGGAGAAGTTGAACGGATCGTCCGATGGTTGGGTCGAGGGTACGTCGTGGCTCTCGGGTTGCTCGGGCTTTCTGCCCAAGAACTACATCGAACGAACGGCCGAATCCGATGCATGGACGATGCACAAGAGCATCACGATATGCAAGAACAATTTCAGTGACGATATACCGCGACCTCCGAGCAGCCCGGTCACCGCTCCCTCGCCCCCCAAAGCCGCCTCGCCCTCGATTCCCCAACAAGAAGCGAGCGCTGTTTCCGTGAATCACAAGCCGACTCCGGTCGAGAGGAAAATTCTCCCGGTCGTCTCAAACTCAGACCTTCCGTCCCCGAAAGAAGAAACCCTTTACGAAAACATAGAATTTCTCTCGATGGCCGCGGACAACGGAGAGCACAGGCCGCGTCGTCTGTTCGTCGTCCGTCACGCTGAACGAATCGACTTCACCTTCGGACCTTGGATCCCGGCGTGCTTTGACCAGCACGGGAACTACACCCCGAGGGACATCAACATGCCCAAAACGGTTCTCCCTCGGAAACCCATGGATTACCTCAAGGATTCTCCTCTGACCCGTTTTGGACTGTATCAGGCATCGCTAACGGGAGAAGCCATGTTCGAAGCTGGTATTCGATTTTCTCAGGTCTTCTGTTCGCCTTCCCTGCGGTGCGTTCAAACTGCCACAACAATCTTGAAAGCTCTTCAGTCGCCAACCCCGTTAATCAACATCGAACCGGGCTTGTTCGAATGGTTGGCTTGGTATCCCGACATTCAGCCAGTATGGTTCAAACCCCAGGAATTGAAAGATTTCGGGTTCCCCATAAACACTACGTACAAACCTCTCATGTCGGTCGACGAACTTCTCTCCAAGAAGTCGGAGTCGTGCGAGGAATATTTCAGCCGTAGCTATGTAGTTACCCAAACTCTTCTAGAGACCTCTAAGCAGATTAGGGGGGATGTGATGTTTCTCGGCCACTCGGCCACTCTCGACGTCTGTACGCGTCAGCTGACCGGTGCGAAAATTCGAACGGCGCAAGAGCTTGTCCATATTGTACACAAAATCCCTTACGTCGGGGTTGCGGTCGTCGAGGAAAACTCGGGTCGAGTTCCCAGTTGGGGACTAATCGGAGCGCCCTTTCAGACGCTCACTCACGCAAGCAATGTCAAATTCGACTGGAAATGTATGTTAGGCGATGCGCACGTTTCCAAGCGATGAGCATAGTCATTTCTACGATGGACAATCGACTCCCTACAATTTAATATATTGTAAACTTGTGGTTCTCTGATCTTTGGATGCGCGGAGAGTTCAAAGAGACAACCGATATTCCCGGATCGATCCCGATCTGGACCATTTCGGCTTCTCTTCCCTATTTTAGTCCCCGAGGAATCGGCTCGAATTTCAGAGACAGTCACTGTACCTCCTCCACAGAAATTCTTATCTTTTTACCTGAAGATTCCTTCAATTGATTCATCTCGATCCCGAACCTCCCCGGGGAAACACAAGCGATTATACGTCGTTCGCGGCGCTCGGTCACAATAGAGAAAACGAGGAAAACGACAATATTCTGCACTCGTCGTCCCAAAACTCTCTACTCAAACTTCGAGACCAACTTTTCTTTTATTTATTCTGTCGTACCCAAGTTCGACACGACCAAGTACATCGTAGAATCGTATCAGCAAGGAGTGAGCGCGCTGCCGGGATAAGAGAGATAGGAAGTCGCTGTGATGGTCAGAACCGCAGATGACGTCCCAGACCGAGGAGCCATAAGTGCAATCAGGGTGCGGAAGCTCCGTTTTCCCCGCCGCGAGTTCAAGATCGAATCAAAGAACACTCGGTGTATCTAGATCGGTCAATCAGACCTTGTACTCAAGAGGCCAGGGGACTATGGATTTTCACAGGTGATTACTCTAACTAAGCCGGAGCGATAGTCTACAGTCCCTTATCAGTTGTGAGTGTGCCAATATTGGATCCGAATCCTCTGTGAGTGTCTTCCGGCCAGAAAACCGAATGTGTCTTCTAAATCGCCGACCGACAATCCGTCTACGTGAGCCAATAAAGAATTTTTTCGATCTCGATCGAGAATAGGAAGCGCCTCATTCGAGACTGCAATATACTTCTCGCACTCGCTGCATTCGACCTGGCGTTGCTATGATTGATCATACGATTGGTCGATGGCATTTGTTTCCGTCATATTCAGCAAACCCCAAGAAAAGAGAGCCGAGAATAATCGGAATTCTACCTACAGGGCTCTTTCAGGATTCGACCCCGGTTATATTCGGGACAACGAATCCGAGGACTGTCGTTGAGCCCAGCGAGGTTCTTGACCGAGGGTCTCCGGGTAGAGAAACTCGAAGGTTATCGGATGGCCTCGCAGGATTCGATGGGGAAATTTTCGAGATAAGCCCTCCAGGATTTTCGGAGCTCAAAGACCGCGCCGAGTTACAATTCTAAGCGGTTTTGGCAGGTTCCGATGCCTGTTGCTGGTTGTGCGCGAGCGAGTCTAAAGAGCGGAAGATCTCATTTTTTTTCAAACTTGGCGCTTTCACAGATGCCGAAAGCTGCCAGAAAACGTTCGATTCTTGTGGTGGGGTGCGATCCCGAAGTGCGTGTCAGATAGGTCTTTAGCCTAGAAACCTCTCTGAGATGTCTGAGAAACCATCGAGATCTTGAAATCAGTCGATACGTAAGTTCGTATGTTGTGTGCTCTCTGTCGACGCATGCGCAAAGAGCTCTGGGCTGGTGCTTGGGCTCCTTCGAGTTGTACATCAGAGTGTTGTCGAGAGAAACTGGAATAGAACTTACCGGATGCTCTAGGTTGAAGGGCGTTCCAGTGCCTGGAACTGGTCTGGCTGGGCCATGCAACCCGTCGGTAAGCTGATACCCAGTCTCGGATGGGAAACCTACCGCGGAGCATCCTCATTCTATGGGGAGGCTTCTGCCTGTTAGCCTGGTGGTTTCCCCATCGTTTAAGGAACGGAAGCGAGCGCAAGAGATCCGCTGGAATCACCACTCTCCGGGCTCACAACGATTTTCTTCTAATTTCCTGGGGACTATCATCCCTTCTCAGGAGTTAAGCTTGACGCACAAGAGTCAGAGCTCGACAGATATATTCGAGTCTCGTGCAGCATAATGGGTTTCGATTTACGTTTCGAAGGAACGCTCAACACGACATATATCTGGAGGAAGCTGTTCCCATCAGAGTCGATGAGCGAGAACACTGGGCCTGCAATGATCGGGGAGATTGATATAGGCCGTTCACATGAAGATTGCCCGACGCGCAGCTCCCTCCTTACTCCCTGCTCCTGCCATGTTTAGCAAGACAATACAACTACGGTCCTCACATTTTCCACCGACGTCGGTTCAGACTGCGAAAATCTGTCTCTAGGCTCACAAGATCATTCAGATTGGGGATCCAGGCTTCCGAACCGAGAGTCGAGACATTGGTGACCAAGAGAACTTTCGAATTATTTCCAGGCTTCCCAGCCACCAGTAGCTCGGACGATTACTGGAACATGCGAAACAATGCCGGACTCTATGGAACGGCCCGGCGCGGGGACTCGTTCGTGACACCGCCCGCACCCTCCGGTGCGGATTGGTGCCCAGCGAAACATACACCGATCCGGACCCAGCCGGTCATACCAACGCCGACACCTCCAGCTTCAGCAATCTCAACGGCCTCGGCGAACCTATTAAGCAACAATAAGTCCAGGGGGAGTCAGGTAGGAGTAAATCGGATTCGTCCTCCGAGCTAATTGATCGTTTGTGGGATGAAACCTGAGCGGTATCTCGCACCACTACTCGGAAGAACTGGCTCATAGGGTGACAACTCTCGCAATCTTCCAGGCTTGCTGTGTATATTTATTAAATCGAAGCTGTTTAGCCCTACAAGTGGAATGCCTGACGACAGTCACTGCGGGTCAGATATTGCAACAAATTGCCGATGCTCCGTGTGAGCCAGGCTTGGGGCAAGACGCATGTCTAGTTTTCGCCGTATGGATTGCCAATGCGGATTTCGAATTGCAACTCGAACCAGGTGAGAATTTCGTTCTGTTCACTCTTTTTCATCCCTCCGGCTTGCCTACCCCTTCCGCCGCAAGAGACGCCAGGCGTCTGTGTTGCGGCGGGCTAGGTACCGTAATTGGGTAGGCCTTGGCCTGGGAACCGCTCCGGCATTCACCCGCGAAGAATGGGAACCATGGAGAGCACCCTCGAAGTAGACGGCTGCAGGGATCGGAAGCACGCAGCCTCCCGCACGATGCAACGCCAATGTGGCCCGCGGAAATGTGCATGTGACGCGAAGACCGTTCTGACCAGTCGGCTATCCGGCCGTTATTCGACTAGCAACGTGGATTATGACGACAACACTGATGTCTTATCGTTACAGGGCGGGCTCCTTATGAAGTTTATAAAGTTTGGACGGAGTTGGTTAATGCGTACTGTACCCTGCCGGTCCCTCTGGTGGGAGAACCGAAATTGATACTCCAGCGTAATGTGACCCTCGGTGAGGAAGAAGAGCGCGCCATCTGCCAGAGGAATTCCTCGGTTTTAGAGCTACTGTATCACGAAGCTCGCTGCAACGTCCTCGATGGTGAGTCAGTTTGGAATCTGTTCACTTGAAAGATCTGAGATTAAGAGAACCGATTCGAGACTACAAGAGTATCGGCAGTGACTGAGTATGCAAGAAGCAATCACAATTCGCAACTCAAGAGAGTTACGATTTGTGATAGCTCACCCAAACACGGTGATTATGTGACACTACTTAATTCGTTCGATCTGTTGTTCGCAGGTCGTTATCCCGTCACCGAACACGTCGCGCTACGATTAGCCGCATTCCAAGCAGCGATCGAACTCGAAGGTCAGAGCGCCTGCGATGTTTTGGCGGATAAAGCCGGTCATTACTTGCCCCATAGACATATCAAAAGCAGTTTTTTCGGCCAAAGCATCGAAAAGAAACTCGTGCAAGAGTACAAGGACCTTCTGATGTGTCGGTGCACGGACAAGCACTCGTTGATGAGGGACTATCTCGACGTGTGTCGGAAGCTAGTTTTCTACGGCAGCGCATTCTTCGAGGGTGCTCTCGATTCGTTTTTCGGCTCAAGAGACGTAGTGGTTGCCATCAATAGGCGTGGACTCCACATCCTCACGAAGGATGGTCGCTTGGAAGGGTCATATTTGTTTTCAATTAATCAATATCCCCCTTTATTCAATTGGGATTACGGTAGACCGGTGCAGAAAGGACTCGAGCCCTGCCTATATGTCTCCGATGGGTACATGAGCTCGCACCAAATTTTCTCAAAGCAGTCTTTCTTAATGGATAAGATGCTGATGGTACTACAACCGAGCAAATTGTAGAGCCAATTATAATCTCCCCCGCAAAAGAAAGACAGCCGTCGCCGTCATCGCGATTTCGCCTGGCGATCCGCTGTCTCAAAGGGTGGAGAGCCCGCCTTGAGTTCCTGATCACAGTGGAGTTCTCCGCGCACTCCGGGAGTCGCTTCCCGAGAGCTCTGTCGAAACTCCTTGAATGAGAGACTACTAGTCATGTGGACACTCGGCGGATGCTCTGCCGGTCGATAAGATCTCCCGAAGGGAGGAGCGCTGCGGGGAGGAGGAACTAGACTGTTAAGAGTCCCGCAGTCTAATCCTGGACCGATCAGATCATCAGGATGCCGGATCCCTCGGGATTTTGCTCGAGACTTGGTGGACGCACGACGAATTTTGCTCGAAGAGGGGAGGGAAGTGTCTCGCGAAATGTTTACATTGGTTCTGGGGATTTCCGCAAGTCTTCTCAGATTGCTCTCGCAGATGTCGAGACCTCATGAATCTCAAATCGACGACGGAGCAGGAATGCACGATTCACGAATCAGAATTCGAATGCAGAGTTTGAATGCAGATTCACGAATCAGAATTCGAATGCACGATGGACGAATATAGAGTGTGTGGTTGACGACGGAACGCTATTGTGATAAACGATAAATATACATATATAGGAGCGTGCGTCTCTAGGTAGTTGGATCGTGATCGATCCATCTCGAGGTGACGGAAGGATAACCGCTCATTGTAAGATATTGAGTGCCATACAAGTTGACAGGGAGCGATAATGTAAGATTTCGATCCAGAACGGATATCTGGAGCCTTTTTGAAGAATAAAGACAACAGATGAGGAGCGAAAGTCTTCTTGTTGATTCCTCCGCCGTAGCTGAGCTCGTATCGAGCTTGCTGTGATTCATCGCTGCTTTCAATTCTCAAACAGAGCAATGGTATAGGACCCGTGCGGTTCTTCGCCACGAGAATTCGTGGCATACAAATGACGGCTGGCAACGTCCTGTGACGGAGATTGTTCCGGCACTTATCGCGCACATCACGGTATCATGGAAGACGGAATTCGAACTCTCTGTCGTCCTCGGCCGTTCCGGCGCCCCCTAGCGATTCTCGACAGAAACTCCGCTGTAAACATAGGTCATATGTTGCTGCTGTGTTATCCCGGCGCGCTCATCCTCCACTCTCTGAGCGGATCAGCTGGTGTTTCCTTCCCAGGGAGATATGCTTCGACGGGTCATTTCACAGGGAGCGCATCTCCGTAGAGTTATTGTTGGTTTCGATTGTGTGGAATCGGGACTCCCGGCCCTGCTCAAGATACAGAAGTCAAGCTTCGGTACATCGGGCCGGCTCGTGGCATTATCGTCTATCGAATACGAAAAACAGAGCAAGATCACTCTGGACAACTTGTGCGAGTATTTCGAAACAATCTTAGAGAGCGTTGAAGATTCCGACGTGAACTTGAGTGATGGCGTTCTGACTGTTAAATTAGGAGATGATCTCGGAACCTACGTAATCAACAAGCAGAGTCCGAACAAGCAAATCTGGCTCTCTAGTCCCATCTCCGGACCAAAAAGGTGAGTGATCGGGCAAGCGGAGCTCATCCGATCGAATTTGAGTGAGTCGCTGACTCGGTTCCCTCTTCTAAGCGGAGTCATTACCTTGCCTCGCAGATACGACTTCGTGTCCTCGAAGTGGGTCTACAAACACGACGCGAGTGAGCTGTATGCGCTGCTGACGGAAGAATTGCGGGGACTTCTTAGGAATAGTGAAATCGATTTCAATAATAATTGCCGGTAGGCATAACGTCGATAGGCTGTTATATTTCGAATAAAATCTGTACATACTTCCTGGAATCATCCTTCTAATGACTGTGATATCGAATAGAACCCTGGAGCTCGCGAAGGATTGTGCGAAGGGGGATCATCGGCGTCCTCATCGACCGTAATACCATACACGGTCGGCTGACTCCGCTGGGAGACTCGAGAGGTGTTTTTGTCCTCAATTTTTTTTCCTATTGCATAAGAAGAGCGGACACTTGACCAGACAATAAGCGATGACGCTTCGTCGATGAGCAGCGAGTGTGACCAGCTTTGCAGAGCAAAAACTTGCTTGGAGGCATTGTCGGTTTCTTTTCCCTCCGATAACTTCCGACGGGGCAATGTCGAACGAACTCGTCGCCTTTCGACGTAGTCTTTGCAAGAAAGCGGGAAGAGACGCATCAACGCATCTGCAGTCCTCTCTGACCCCTTCCCTTGTATATATAGAGCAAAAGAAAATGGTCAAGCGACCTTTCTGTGCGAGACGATGCGAGCCCCCTCGTCTGCAGTTCTCGTGGTGGGTAGAATACCGGAGATCCAGTTCGGACGGTGTGCCAGGAGAGCAGTTTGACTCATCACGTGTCGAGCAGATTTCCGTTGACACCTGCCCTTTTTAGGTGATTACCCATCACATTATCCTGATTCTTAATCTGCTCGGAGATTCATCGGCAAGCCATCTGGATCGGAAGTCGGTTCCCTTCCGCCCCAAGCATGCACGACGGAGCTACCGCACTCGACCGCCGCTTGCGGAGCTGCATCCGGCGTCGTCTCAGCGAGCTCCTCAGACCGCGGTGCCGGCGCCGCCTGCCGCCGATACGTCTGAAAATGCGACGGGGGACAGTGAAGCTCAAGGAACGATTAGCGGCTCGAGGATGAGACATGGCTTCAGCGGAGGCGGAGGTGGCATGCCCCCCACTGGCTTCTCATTGGGCGCAGGTGGAGCGGGTGGGAACGGCGGAGGGGGCGGGGTAGGGGCTGGTGGCGGGTTCGGAGGAGGGGCAGGTGGCTTCGGTGGGGGAGGTGGTGGTGGCGGAGGAGGCGGTGGTGGCGGAGGAGGCGGAGGAGGCGGTGGTGGCGGTGGTGGCGGAGGAGGCGGTGGGGATCATTCCGGATACTTTCAGTAAGTTACAGGATCGATGGATTGCGAATCGCCCTGATGCAAGGTTTTACGATTCTGTTTTGTCTTGATCAGTACCACGCTCACAGGTACGCGAAGGTCCCGCAAATGGACACCTACGAGTTCGGATACCGGAAAGGAAATCCTTATCACTTCATCGAACGCCACGAATCGCGTCACGGACCAAGATTCCGGACCAAAGTCCATTGGGGTGACAAACGGGGAGGCTACGGCGAGCACTACTGGGAATACAACCACATGGAAACTACCCCTGCACCCAGTACGCCCGGCTACGAGGACTACGGCGGAGGAATGGGCGGTGGGGCAGGTAGAGGGGGTGGAGGGATGGGTGGGGGAGGGGGCGGAGGGAGCGGGATGGGGGGAAGCGGAGGGATGGGCGGCAGAGGCGGTCAATACTGAGCAGCGCAAGAAGCGAGCTCGCAGAGATATTTCTCCGAAGGAATTCCCCAACTTCGGTGACGGTACGATGTCGTTCGTTAACCGCGATTCTGTCGAGAAAAACTTCCCAGCATTACTCTGATGACTTTGTCCGCGGTGCATAAGATCAGCTGAGCAGATCCTCGACGATGCGAATGACAATGTCAGAATGGAGGCCCCGCGCCGATAGGTCTTGTGATTCTAGTCCCTGGTGTCGCCGAATTTTCTTACTCGCTTCTCTCACGAGCTATCGGGGTCTCACTCAGTCTAAAGTCTGTCTATCCGATTTTCAAGTTCCATCTGTCCCATAACTTCGACGGAGAATTCCAATCAGCTCCCAGACAGACTCCATGTATCGTATATGTTCAGAACGGAGCCCTTGCATCTCCTGACCTGCTATCTCATTCGGGTTCGCTCATCGCTTCCATGCCAATTCTGGATCTCTGGCACCACGCTGCGATGATGAATTTATACTGAGTGAGCGCGATGTCGAATCCGTGCGTATCCGTCGGGTGTGCGGTATGAGGACGAGGATAATGATCCCATGATATTCCTTGTCGAGAGCTAGAATTCCTCACGATGAATTGAGTTCCTTGGGACGCATGTCCGATGATCGTGAAAAGAGCAGTCGAAATTTGTGTGGGGAACTTGTTTTTATTTGACGATGAAATAAAGTTTGTGATCAAGTGATATACAGTCGAACCCGCTCATAAGAAAACCGGTTAAGAGAGAAAACCGGATATAAGAGACCGATCCCGATTCCCCGATTTTTTCTCCATAGGGCTTCATGTTGAAAACCTCGCTTATAAGAAACTCGGATATAAGAGAAAACCGGATGTAAGAGACAATTTTCAAACCCCAGCCCCATAGAGTTCCATGTTGGAGACCTCGTATATAAGAGAGAACCGTCTCAAGTAGAATTTCTGTTTGCTGTTCCATGACTCCTCTTCCTCTCGGAACCTGCGCGAATGAGATAACACGCCAGTTCGATAGTATCATTGCTCCGAAAATGATCGTCTCTCCACAGGATCATGATACCGGCATCCGAGTCATACGGGAACGAGATGTTTCGGGTCTTTTCATCGAAAGACCGTACCTCGGATATTAGAGAAACCGGATATAAGAGACCATTTTCAATTCCCCGAGAGGTCTCTTATAAGCGGGTTCGACTGTAGTCGGATCGTACCGAGGCCCGGATCGTACGCGAACCATCGCGAGAGATACGATCAGATTTCTGTATGAGGTCAGCAGCTATCACAATCTGTGGAAAAGATCGAATATTTCGCTAACCCCAATTTCATCTCGCACCCTAAATGCACCTACTTTTTCGGGCTGAACCACACAGCCAAGGTTTAACGTCCCGGGTACTGTTATTCACATTGCTTCCGAGGACGGATCCATAGAGCAAATGTACCCAGGAGGATCAAGGCCGAGTACCTGCATATTTTTCCGGCAGCAGGGATCGAACCCACACCGCCTCCCGCGCGAGCGGCGTCGTTGCGGCATCTCACGAAGTGAAACGCACGTTTGCACGAGTAGTGACGAACGCGCTAACCACTCGACCACCCGTCGGTCACCCTAAATGCACCTACCAGATGTACACATGCATGCTGGTCGGGAAAGGAGAATGCTCGAGACTGAGCGAATCGAATATCAATATGGTTATCAATAATTAATATGCCGCGATCCGCTCAGACGGCTTGACCCTGTCGCCCTGGAGCGCGGGGAAACCGTTGGCTTGGGATGCCACGGTGTGGGATACCATGGCCCCTTCGCACCAGACCCGCGCGGCTCGCAAGGCTGGTTCGGTTGCGGACCGGGCCGAGAAGAGCAAGCTGTCGAAATACCGCGAGTTCGAGACTCGGTTCATTGTTCAGCCGGTGGCAATCGAGACGCTCGGGGTCATGGGCCCCTCCACCGAAGCATTCCTCCGTGAATTAGGGAAGAGAATAGAAAAAATTTCGGGGGACAGAAGATCAACAGAATTCTTGCTGCAGAGGATCTCGATCGAGGTCCAACGGGGGAACGGGGCAGCCGTCAGCGGTTCTCTACCATCTGGGCCTGACCTTGTGGGGGTCGGCTAGGCCGCTCTTGTACTGACTCATCACTCATCCCTTCGAATAAATATTTTCGTGTTTATAATAAAATTTATTGATTAAAATAATAAAACGTTTTTTTGATAAGGGGAGCTTCGAAATGTTCCTTGAACCATCGGAACAGACCGTTTACAGAGTGGAACGTCTCTCGCCGGTATCGATAGCCACTGGGCGTCACGGAGACGAATTCGTGGCGACGCTTCGAGCTTGGTAGGTACGACAAGAGGAACTTTCCCGGGAATTGCGCGCACGCGGTGACACAATAGGGGATCCTCGAGGGCGCCTTCCGTTTCTCTTCTGTCAACCATCTTTCCACGAGCTCTTTCTTACCGCCTTCGAAATCTTGGAAATACCTGGGGATGAAGAGCACTCGCGTTAGTTAGGGAACTCTCTCTCTCGACGAAAGCCTCCCGATCGATTGGAGCTTTGCTCTTCGCTAGTAAGCGTACCTGAACTTAATTAGGTCTCTGGCGTAACCAGCCATGGGTTGCACATATTTGACGAGTATTTCATCCAAACATTCAAACTCCTCGCCATTGATGACCAATGATGAGCCCAAGGAAAAACTGTTCTCTTTTCCTTTCTCCTGGACGTCGATGTGTTGTAGAATATCCTTATGGACTTTCCAAGTTACCGTCAAATGATCAACACCTGAGAAAGGGGACGAAAATTACGATTAATATTGAAGGCAATCAGATACGAGTCAGACAATCCCGGTCTGGCATGGGGGGAGGGGGTTCCCGAGCTCTGCGTGATATGCTGATGGTTTCAAAATTATTAGCGACCGGGAAATCGAGGAAGAAATTGAGAAAGATCTACCTTTGGATGATGGCCGGATCACACTTTCGCCTTGTTCTTGTCGATCCAGTATCTTGACAGCTTCACTAAAGGAAACGTTGTGGTACGACGGGTGCACGATGACACGTTTTACGTAAGTTTGTCGCTGCTTCAACTTACTGACATCATTAACTTTCTTACGCTCTTTCTCCTCGGCCTCGTGATCGTAGTAAAGATCTTTGGGCGGCTTCCATTCACCTGCGGCGATCGAAAACCATGGATGAGATTCATTACCACGAGGCGGACTCAATGCTCCTCTCGAAGGATATCCAACGCATCCCCGAAGGGGAAGGGTTCGGAACCGAGTGAAGAATAAGTCATCCCCAAGCTTACCGTTTTTGTCGGCCAGATCGGAGCTTTTTGTCGTGACATCGACAGAAAATCGAGATATATCGATTTTGGTGATCCTGCCTTGCGCGATCTGTCCGATCTTCACTCGTTCTTCCGGGTTGGAAACTCGTTTATCCGACAGGTTCTTTGTCGGAATGAAGCCATTTAAGCCGTTGTCGAAACGTACTTTCACGCCCATGGCCTGA